AAAAAAAGAAGAAAAGCCAGGCTGGTGGCTCACGCCTGTAATCCCAGCACTTTGGGAGGCAGAGGCGAGAGGATTGCCTGAACCCAGGGATTTGAAACCAGCCTGGGCAACTTGGCACATCCTCCTCTCTATAATTCTTGGAAGGCTGAGGCAGAAGGATCACCTGAACCCAGCAGGTTGAGGATGTGGTGGCCATGAGTGTGCCACTGTACTCCAGCCCAGGTGACAGAGTGAGACTCCAACTCAAAAAAAAAAAAGTCCCCCAGTCAGTGATATTTTGTTCTGCCTGCCCAAACAAACTAGTTTAGCTACAGTCTCCACCTGAACAAAACATTTAGTATTCATAATTCACTGATCACATGCTAATGTGTCAAAGGTTAACCAGCAATTGCTGTTCTGTGTGATCACACTCAGCAGACAAAGTCTAAAGGTTCCAAGGGATGCCTTCAAGGGGTTCTGAGCTGGATAAGACTTTACCCTTATAAAAAAAAAAAATCTGCACTCTTCCCCATAGAGGTCCCCCCAGCTATAGGAGATCAAGACAGTGGCTGACTAGAGGAACCTCAATCATAGCCTTAAGGGTTTCCTTGAGATAAAAAAAATTTTTTTTTAATTGTAGAGACAAGGTCTCACTATGTTATCCAGACTGGTCTTGGACTCCTGGCCTCAAGCAATCCTCCCACCTTAGCCTCCCAAAGTGCTGGGATTACAGGTGTGAGCCACCACACCTGGCCCTGAGACAAACATTTAATGGGTATAATTAAAACCATGCTTCTTTGAAAGAACCAAAGTGGCTGGACGTAGTGGCTCAGCCTGTAATCCCAGCACTTTGAGAAGCTGAGGTGAGAGGATTGCCTGAGCCCGCAGGTTCGAGACCAGCCTGGGCAACTTGGGGAGACCTCGTCTCTACAATAAATCACAAAAACTAGCCGGACGTGGTGGCGTGCATCTGTAGTTCCAGCTACTTGAAAGGCTGAGGTGGAAGAATCACCTGAGCCCAGCAGGTGGAGGCTGCAGTGGCCATCAGCATGCCACTATACTCCAGCCTGGGTGACAAGAGCGAGACCCGCCTGGGCAACTTGGTGAGACCTCATCTCTACAATAAATCAAAAATTAGCTGAGCGTGGTAGTGCATGCCTGTAGTTCCAGGTCCTTGGAAGGCTGAGGCAGAAGGATCGCCGGAGCCCAGCACGTCGAGGCTGCGGTGGCCAGGAGCGACCACTGCACTCCAGTCTGGGTGACAGAGCAGGACTCCAACTCAAAAAAAAAAAAAAAAAGAAAGAAAGAGCCAACGCCACAAGTGAGAATCATCTGACTGAGCTAATGCATTGAGTGGCTTCCATTCACCAATGGACCCCCAAGAAGGGAACCTCTTAACCCTTGAACACTTACAGGAAGAGCCGGAATGAAGATCATGACATAGGTCTGCGTAAGCCTACATAATGAAAAGGAAAAGAAAAACAAAACACAGTGATAGAGACCTCCATTTCAAGGAAACAACTAAAACTACCTTTTGTATTCTGATTCTTTCTAAATTAGTGAATGGGCTTAAACTAGTGAAGCAAATATAAATACTTACACACACAATTTGTCACCTTATAATTCAAATCACCTTTCTTGGTTCTTTCAAGTCTTTAGGTCTAGGACAGGGTTTTTCAACCTGGGCACTATGGCTAGGTACTTCTCTGTTGTGGGGAGCTGTCCTCACACTATAAGATATTCCCCAGACTCCTGGTTTGTACCAGAAGCAACACCCCAATACCAGTTGTGATAACCAGAAATGTCTTGAGACATTGCCAAAACATTCCCTGGGTTCAGAGCTGCTAGGAACATCTAAATCAATTAAACAGGTGGCTCTCAAACTTGGCAGCACGTTAAAATAATCTGGGGTGCTTTGAAAGATACCAATGTCAAAACCTCACCCCAAACCAATTAAAATAGAATCCAGGCCAAGTGCGGTGATTCGTGCCTGTAATCCCAGCACTTTGGGAAGCCGAGGAACGAGGACTGTGTAAGCCCAGGAGTTTGAGACCAGCCCGGGTTATATAGCAAGACCCTGACTATACAAAAAATTTTAAAAGTAGCTGGGTGTGGTGGCATCCACCTGTAGTCCCAGCTTCTCAGGAAACTGAGGCGAAGGAATCACTTGAGCCCAGGCAGTGAGCCATGATTGTTCCATTGCACTCCAGCCTGGGTGACAGAGTGAGACTCCGACTAAAAAAAAAAATCCAAGTCGGGCTCGGTGGCTCAGCCTGTAATCCCGCGCCTTGGGAAGCTGAGGTGAGTGAACTGCCTGAGCCCGCAGGTTCGAGACCTGCCTGGGCAACTTGGCGAGACCTCGTCTCTACAATAAATCAAAAAAAAATTAGCCGGGCATGGTAGTGCGTGCCTGTAGTTCCAGCTACTTGGAAGGCTGAGGCAGAAGGATCACCGGAGCCCAGCGGGTCGAGGCTGTGGTGGCCGGGAGCAGCCACTGCACTCCAGTCTGGGTGACAGAGTGAGACTCCAACTTAAAAAAAAAAAAAAATCCAGAATCCTAAAGGATGGGTCCAGAGGCATGGAGGTGGGAGGGGGTGGGGTTTGAAAAGTACCCACATGGTTTTCACATCAACCAAGGTCAAGATAACTAAACTATGAACAAACACCACAAGCTACCATCCCACATGGAGGATGCTTTCAAACGTAATTTCACTCAAAACTCTTAGCTAGGGGAGTCACCCAGAAGCGGGGATGGGGGCGGGGGGGTTTCTAGATCTTAGGAAACAGGTATGGAAAGTATTAAGGTCTGGGAGACATCAGGAGAGGAAAGTTTAAGCCCATGTTGGCACGTAGCCTGGTCCCTGGCCTTTGTAATTCCCAGAGGCTGAACTTGGATGGGATGGTCTTTCTGCTGGAATGGATGCCCCATCCCGCCACGACAGGTCCCTGCTTACCTGGACACGGCCGGGTCCTGCCTAAAGAGAAGCAGGATGTTCTGAGTGTTGAGGAAGAGTGCCCAGCAGGGGAAGCAGCAGAGAAGCAAGATGAGCACACCCCTCTGCAGGATGACCCCCACATGCTTCAAGTTCTGGCTCCCGTACGTCTGGGGTGCACACAGCCAGAACAAACCCGTTAGCACAGACATGGCACCCCTGCTGTCCCCCAAAAGCCTTCATTCATGCCTTATAAAGAAACAGGTGCCCCTAGAGGCACTGCCATAGTCTTTAGGTAGGAGGGCACCAGTGGTGAGAAAGATGAGGGATTCTCAAACTCAGCTGCCCATTAGAATCACCTAGAAAACATTTCCAAAGCTCTGGCAGGGACTCAATAAAGATATTTTGGATTTAATTGGCCCAGGGTGGGACTCAGAGAGCAATGATTTTTAAAAGCTCCCCATGTGATTCTAATGTGCAGGATTGCATAACCTGGAAACTTGTTAGAAATGCAAATTCTGCCAGCTCGGTGGCTCAGCCTGTAATCCCAGCACTTTGGGAGGCTGAGGTGAGCGGATTGCCTGAGTCCGCGGGTTCAAGACCCGCCTGGGCAACTTGATGAGCCTTCATCTCTACAATAAATCAAAAATTAGCCGGGCGTGGTGGTGCGTGCCTGTAGTTCCAGCTACTTGGAAGGCTGAGGCGGAAGGAT